AGTCCACGATCCTCGTCTTCTGTCCAGTTTTCCAGACAGGCAGTTCAGCACACCAGTAACAAGTCAGATCAGAACTGACCACGTGGATCCTAGCAGTGAGCACTGCAACGGAGGTTCTTTAAACCACTGAAACACCCTGGCTGAGGCGCAGCACATCAGGCTTCAGCTGGCTGCTCTGTAACCCTGCACAAATGAGGTAAATAGCCTGAGCAGAGAAAGTGCACTGTAGTCATTTCGAACTGGAAGTTTCTGTGTAAAGATACGGACTGACTGCTTGCTTTGGAAATGTGGCACAGCGTTGTAACTAATTTCACAATGCAAACATGGTCAATAGAAAATGGACACGATTACTGCTTCTCAGTGACAGCTCACTAAATCCTCAACATCTTTTGAATCTTCAGAGTCAGGACTGCCCAACGATGAGCCAATAATGTGTGACCCATCTCCGTGATGCTGTAGGATAGGATCTGTCAAGAGACATAGTACGTTAGAACTATTATTTACTGTGCCAGTGTAACACACTTATGAGTCAGAAAATGCAGAGTGGAATTTTAACCATTTTAAAGCATTGTCACTTGAAACTATTTAGTTGTCAATTTCTAGTTTCAAGGTAAGCTAGGACTAATATGGATGCAACCAGTGTGACTCACAATTGGATTCATCAGGTACTACTGTATCAGGCCCAGGGCTGACCCCAGATGGCTCTGCAAGGAGATCCCTTCCTCTGGAAAGGAGCATTTGTTCGGGGCAGCATTGGGAGAATATCTGTGTGCTGCTCCCACGTCTGAGATGACTCTTGGCATTGGGAGGCACAGCACAAGCTAGCAAGCCCTTCCAGGTGAGTGCTGTGCAAACCTGAAATAGCCCAGCCCCTCGCCATGAGAGGCATCAAGTGCATTTCTGATGCCTCTGGTCTTCTCTCAAATACACAAATTTCATTCAAGCACCAGGCATGAAGAAATGCGCCCTAAAGAAAGAGTTACTTATTAGCCTATGTGTACTCATTCAAGGCTCAGGGGTGATGGGAACAGCTCAGCAAGTGATGAAGCAGCTGCTGTTCCAATGCTTTTCGCACAAGGTCAAGGGGGACTTTGTTCCACTGAGACAAGTGGGGTAACCAACTCACTTCAAGTTTCATAGCAATGACGTGGAGAACTATTTAAGGGAAAGCAAGGAGCTGTAAAGTGTTGTTTACAGGAATTGAAAAGTGCCACACTGCTTTTATGAATCCTAGCTCCAGTATCAATCATACAAAGGGACTGTTGTACCTGTTAGTGTTGTCAGGGGCAGGACTGATTCGCTGTCCATATCATCCGTTGCCTGGATAAAACCATGGGAAGAAGGAACAATAAGCACAGTCTCATCATCTATTGCAGGCTGATCAACTTGTTCTTCTATCGTTGGGGAGCCCAGGTCCTGCACAACACAGAACAGGACATGAGAGTGCACTCTTGGTAGCATAAACAGAAAAACCTGCTTTGCTCAGCCCTACCTACAGTAAGCAACGACTCCCTGGATGAATTTATCTCATTAAACTGAAATGTCAGCATCTGAGTTTACTTCAGCATTTATAGGGCATGTTTCATCCTAGTGCAGGCATCTAAAAACAAGATGAGAAGAATTCTACACTATGAGCAGTATGAGGGTGGGAGAAGGGGAAAGGAGACTGCAAGGTGGTGATGAAATGTTCCCTTGTTTTGTCTGTGAAGAGGAATAATTAAGCTTTTCCACTACTTGCTGTCCAGATGTTCTGAGATATTGAAACAATACCTTTATAGTAGTTGCCAGCTCCACAAACACAACAGCTTTCCCTGAACTTAATAGTTAGTTTCACAACTTCTACTTCTGTGTACAGTTTTAAGTACTGAACACAGAGCTCGAAAGACCCATTTTAATTGCTGTGCCTTGCTTGCTCTGTCACTTGCCGCTTGTAGGCTGGCTCCAAACGTTTTCAGCTGAACCTTATTATATCAAAACCTTGGCAACACGCGGATTCCTTCCAGGTACAAGCTGTCGACACCCTTGCTCTCTTCCAGTCCTTTAATATCTGCTGCTGCCGCCTCCTCCCTGGCTCTTGCAGTACTGGAATGGCAGCAACACATCTGGCTCGCTTAGTGTCACAGCACACTCCGGTGGACTCCTGGTTCTGCAAACGCAGTGAAAAGACATCCTAGACGGTTCTGCCAGAACAGGCAGAGATATTTGGATTCCAGTTTTCATGTGTAACATGTGTAAGGATTGTTCAAGCTTCAGGAGTCACTGATGCAGAATGTTAGCAAATGTGGCTGGCAGAATGGAAGGTACCTGATTTATCACTGTTTTCACAGGGAGCAGGAAATGTTTGGGAGAGGTTACAGCCCCCTCTCTTCAGGAAAATCCTGAAGTTCCTCCACCTGGTGTTTTAGGAAAACTTGTTTCCCTACCTAGCTTCACAATGTTTTTGCAAAAAGGCAACTCCCTGGAAACTCCTTCCCTGGTGCTGCTGAAGAGGAGCCGACTACCTGTGCTGCAGCTCAGTGAAACAGACTTGGTCCAAATGTGGATGCAATTCGTGCGAGGCACAGTGTGCCTGACCCGCCAGAGCAGCTCCCTGCGGAGCGCACAGCTGAACCTGCCCACGACAAGCCGTACGTCGTACGGCTTGGATCGGGGAAGAGGAGGCGTGAAAAACTAAAGAAGCCATCGTGGCAAACAGACACCTTTCCCAGCCAGAAATAATAAAACCCTGCAGCATGACTGCCTGCTTCCCACTACCCACACCCACAGTGACAATACAATACTGGTAAGTACATAAAAATAACACTGACTTCAAGAAAGCAACGTTTAGGCACGTCTTTCTAGAGTAACTGTTCACTTAGAAACACTCAGACAGTTCACTATTTCCCAGAATTTAAACACACATGTCAAACTTGGATCTGCCTAGAAGTGTCAGGCAAATTAGAATCACAAATTCAGTTCGTTTTTCTGTATAGAAAAAAAGTTTAGTACCTCTTTATATCCTGCTAGCCATAAGTGATTTCCACAAAGTTTAATTAGGAACTAGGTTTAAAGCAAAAGTTTACTAAGTCTACCTTGAGAAGCTAAAATTTTAAACTGAGAGTAGAAAGCTGATGGGCTGCTTCAGCTGGTTAGAATCTTATCACAACCAAGACACAAGAAAGAGGAAAATGGAAGAATAATCCCCAGCTTCAGGTGTTTTCAGGATTCTGTAGTAGCAGACTGTTGAGAGATGCAAATATCCTCCTCTTTGTAAGAGCATAATGGATATGCAGTGTCTATCATAAACTTTTTCAAAGACAAAGCATAATGAAGTCAGAGCATATCAACAATGGATTTTCAAGACCGATAAAGTAGAATTACAGCAACTGTAAAGCACAGTGTTTTGGGGAACAGGATGGGGTATTTGAATCTAACTCATCTCCTCCCACAGTCTAACCTAATCAAGCTTCTAAGGAAAGAGGTATTTTCTACCCACTAAAGAGCGTTATCATCTTTCTAGCATCTCTATTTTTCTTGACTCACCCTTCATTATAGTTCCAGCAACTGAAAGATGGAGGAATTTAGTATAAACAATCCAAACGCGTGAAATAATTTGGATAAACTCTTTCCTGCATCTCACGTGTTGGAGCTGAATAAAACTGAGGCCAGGAAAAGAAACAGCTTAAATGCTTCGAATTTCAATTTAACAGATACTTAACTGGAGTACTATGTTTAATAGAAGTCCTCAAAAAGGGAAACTGTGGTGCACCTCGAAATACGTTATTAGACGCATGAAGCAAAAACTCTCTACCTCACGTCCCTTGCTCACCAGTCCATCTACCTGTAAAGTACGTGTGTTGGACAATTAACAGCCTAGTTTAAAGCAACAGCATCAAATAGTAATCAGATGAAGGCAACTGTTTAGTGCCGCTAATATTCCTCCTTTCCACAGTCATCACGCAAGACTACCCCGAGTAGTGAATCCACAGCTAGCGAGGCATTTAATGCTCCAGACGCAGTCAAATATAAGCCTTAGTAGCAAATTAAATGCTATCGCTTTCACACCTGTAACATATTAATGAAGCTCGAGGACAGAGAATCTCAACAAAATACTCAGAGAACTACAATATACACG